CTCAAAGTTTGGGCAGGAGAAGAATTTTTAGAAAGATTTCAGAGGATATTTTGTATGGTATGCTAAATAATCCTCTCTTCCGGATCTAGAAGAAAACTTTAGTAAATGCCTGCGTTACTTACCTTTTTTTTGGTGGGATTTGTGTTTATTTGGATATGACACCATAGCAATGGTCTGCAAGGCAGCCTAGAAAGTTCAGGTCATATTTGGTGGTTTGTGTGGGTTTTTTACCCCCCTAGAACTCTGACCAGAATGAGCTTTCACAATGACCATCCAGTTGTTATGCTCATGGTGCAGAGCGGAGGTTGGCCCGACGGGGGTTGTGCAAACCTTGGTTAAGTCCTTCAAGAAGAGGGAAATTCTGAAATCAGAATTAGAACCATGAGGGGAGGGCATGGACTTTTAGGGCCCCCATGGGTGAAGTGGAGAAGTGTGGCTTTATGTAAGCAAGGCTGAGAGGGCCTAAGAAAGTCTGTCAGAAGGCACAGGCTGGGAATTAGTGTATAAATACACAATTTCTGCGGATCCTGGGATCTTTCCTGGATGAGGAGGTCAGTGGCAGACATGCCTGGACATGTTCAGAGGCCCTGTCTGGCCCCGGCAGGGCAGGAGGTCACGGAGGGACGAGGGATCAAGCAGACCACCTGCTGTACCACATGCGGCCGGCCCGTGGCCGGACGCTGCTCCCGGAGGCAGGCAGCACCGGAGGTTGCGAGGGTGTGCGAGGCCCTGCCTTAATAATTACCCGTGGGCAGCAAGCCACAGAGACCAGCTCGGTGGCAGACCGCCTGCCAGCCCTAGAAGGCTCTACGGCAGAGCGGCGATGTGCCAGAATTCAGACGAGCTCCTGGCGGCCGCGTCCGGGGAAGGAAAGCTGGGAATGGGGCGTGTGGTCGGGGGCCCAGGGCCGAAGGCCGCAGTTCCTCCCAGGGCGCGGCTGAGCGCCCTGGGGAAAGGCAGGACCAGCTGGCTCAGATAACTGAGGAACACTTCATGGCCAGGCTCCTGGGTGAACTGAGATTTCCTCAGGAAGCCTGATTTCTTGCTGGGGGGGAGTCCAACTCAGGAGGCGGAAGAGAAAGCAGCTCGCCTCAGGGAAGGTGACGGCGCTGCGGGTGGGTTGGGGCCGGAAGAGGGACGCGGGCCTGGGCCGGGCGGTGCGGCGGGGATGATTCAGCTGCTGAGGTCAGGCCCTGACGGGACAGGTTGGGTGGGTGGGGAGGAGCCGACGGCCGGGGTAGATTTGCTTTGGGTGAGAAAACACGGAGCGGAAAAAGATTTCGGGGGTGGCGGAGGAGGAGGAGGAGGAGGAGAAACAGATTCCAGGGAGAACTTCAGGAATTATTGCCGTGTTCCGCGCTGTGTAGCCACCATCTCCCTCCTCCGCGTCCTCAATTAGCCTCCAACTGTGTACTATGCCCCACTGCCCTTTCCCACTCGGTAGCAGCTCCCCTATGGACAGCTCGTCAAGACTCCAGAACTTTCTTTTCTTTCTTTCTTTCTTTCTTTTTCTTTTCTTTCTTTCTCTTTTTTTTTTTTTTTTTTTTTTTTTTTACCGCTTTTAATTATTGAAACAGTCTCACTCCAATACTGAAAACTCCAGGCTAGAGCTGTGGCCCCAGCAGCTTGGAGTTGGGGGGTGGGGAGGGGGGGTCAACTCTCAGGTGCCTCCCGTCTGGTCCCAAGCCTCAGCTCTGAGGGGAGACAAGGAAGAGGTCCCTCTAGTGGTCCCTCTGTGGATGGTGTTACTTTTTCTAGGTAACACTGACAAGCCCCTGGTGGCCTCTGAGGGTCAGACACCCAAATGCTGTCCTCTCTTGGGCCAATAAGACCTCCCTCATGCATTTCCCTGACTGGGGTGGTTGTTCCTCAGAAAATGCCACTGGGATTTTCTCACCTAAAAGATTGCTCAAGCCTAGCCACCTCCTCTGGTGTCTACTGAACTGTGGGGAACCCTCCTTTTTTGCTGAGCCCAACGACAGGGGTGCAACTGCCCTGTGGCCACCCTTATAGCAGCTCTGCCATCTCCCCGCCACCCCTGTCTCCAGGCTCCAGCAGAGTGAGAAGGTCTGTGGGTCCAAAGACTCAACAAATCCCAGAAAGAGAGCGTCACTAGGCCCCAAGTTGTTGAGGTGGGGATGATCCATGTTCTCTTGGGTCACCCCTCTTTAGCATGAGGTGCTCTGTTGACATTTCCAGCCTCAGCTGTGCTGGCCCCAGCTTGCATTTCATGTCCTGGTTACGGCAAAGTGTTTCTGTTTCACCTGCACTGTGGGGTTCCACATTTCAGGGTCTTGTGCCTCCCACCCCCCAGAAAATACTCCTCCCTTGAAATCAGGTCAGTCTTTAGTCCTCTCCCATGCAGACTGGGCTAAGCATTCCTTCCCACTGCTCTGATCCCTGTGGACATACATGTTTCTTTCTTTCTTTTTTTTTTAAGATTTTATTTATTTATTTGACAGAGAGAGAGAGCGAGAGAGGGAACACAAGCGGGGGGAGTGGGAGAAGGAGAAGCAGGCTTCCCGCAGAGCAGAGAGTCCAATGTGGGGCTTGATCCCAGGATCCCAGGATCAGGACCTGAGCTGAAGGCAGGTGCGTAACCAACTGAGCCACCCAGGTGACCCTGGACACATGTTTCTAGCATGTGTCTCATGGTATTAAAACAGGGCCCCTAAGGACCTAACTCTCCACATTAGACTACATTTCTTAAAGGCAGAAATTGGCTCTTTGATATCTGCATGTTGTGCTGTATGTTGTGCCCACAGCTTCTGATTCATAGAAGACAGTCAATGCATGCTTGGTGATCAGACTAAGGAGAAGAAAGAGGGAGATGGACCAAGTCTCTCATCTTTCACCATGAGGGGCATGTACAATAGACACTTCAGTGTGGGAAATGCCAGCCTCTGACATCTTCCTAGGTTCAGGGAGAGGGAAGTGAGGCCAGTCTTTCTCAACTGAGCTAAAAAGCCAAATACTGTCCCCCTAGACACCTGGTGACTAGAGCCCAGGTGGGTGGCCTACATTCAGCTAATAGGAAGTCCCACCAGGATTTAACCCCCAGGAAAGACTGTCAGGACGGGGAGGCCGGTGCCCTGGGGCTGTGGTGGCAGCTTCCTGACCCCTTTGTAGGAAGTTGGACTCCATAACCCAGTGGAGGCCACCAACCTTCACTCCTCCAGGTTCCCCTAAAGCAGCAATAAGCACCCAACTTTCTGCCTTAACTCCCTCTCCACATGAAAGACAGAAGATGGTTTCTATTTCCTCCACAGAAATCGGAGTAATGTATATTGTTTACAAAAGGCAGGCCTAAAATAAAGTGACCCATAAAGCTCTGCTCTAAAAGGATGACAAAGATATGAAAACAAAGCAAAGCAAAGCAAAAAGTAAAGTAAGGATGGCAATATTGATATCAAAGAATAATATAGAATATTTTATCAATACAAGGTGCAAGTCACAAAGAAGATATAAGGTTCATGAATATTTATGTTCTGCATAAAATAGCATCTAAATATTAAAAGTAAAAATCTTAGAAATCAAGAAGAAATTAATAGGACTGTAATCCAAATGGTAACATTTATCATTTCTTTTATGCACTTTGATTAATCAAGTGGACCCACAAATGAAGGAATTAAATAATATAATCAACAAGCTTTTCAACATTTATAGTCTACAAAAACCTAACTCATATTACTATAAAATAGCCATTGGACATTTATAAAGTAAAGTAATATATTAGGTCATAAAAGAAATTCCAATAAATTCTTAGATGTAAACTCTCTTTGACCATAATCCAGCAAAACAAAGAATTACTAAGAAAAATATTAAATAATAGAATCCAAATACCAGGAAATTAAGCAATATTCTTCTAAATAGCCCTTGGGTAATAAAGGAAATAAAACATGTAATTAAATAGTGTTTTGAAAATAACCATAATAATAACATCAGGTTTCAAAACTTCTGGCTTGCGACAAAGCCATACTAAAAAAAAAAAAAATCATATTCTAGAATGTTATTATTTTTCAAAAGGAATAATGAAAATAATGAATTAAGTATTCATCTCAAGAAGGAAAGTTTTGTTGTTGTTGTTTGTTTCCTGTGTAATTGGAGAGGGTGATTTCATCTCTTTATTCACCCACCTCTATCTGACAACCTTCACTGTATATTCTTTTTTTCCCAACTTTATTGAAGTATAATTAACAAATAAAAATTGTATATATTCAGAATATGCAACTTGATGCTTTGATTTACGTATCTGTTGTGAAATGATCACCACAATCAAGCTAATTAACATATCTATCACTATTAACAATAGCTCTGCTAATATCTTGCATAACTGAAGCTTTGTACCCTTTGATCATCACCTCCCCAATTCCCTCTCCTCCTAGCCCCCATTCTACTCTCTGCTTCTATGTGTTTGACTATTTTAGACTAAGAAGGAAAGTGTTTTTTAATAAATAAATGTAAAGCTATTAAAAAGTATTAATACAATGAAAGCAGAAATTAATTCATTGAAAAACAGTAAAGTATCATTGGTAATTCAATCTAATCTGGTTTCTTTAAAACAAAAACAAATTAGACAACACCTAAAAGGTTAGTAAAAAAAAAAAAGAGAGAGAGAGAGAGAGGGAGAGAGAAAGAGAAAAAACTATGCTAGCTGGCTTGAGGATCTTAATGAAATGGGCTGATTTTCAAAGGAATATGTAAGTTACCAAAGCGGACTAAATAGGAGGTAGAAAGCCTGATTACACTACTAATCCTTAAAGAAATTTTAAAATCATAGAAGAAAACATCTAGTCGCCATGTTTGGACGATCTCTTGGACAACTCTTGGGCACTACTTGGAATCCTCTAGACCTTAGTTCTTCTCTCAGTATAGGATGCCACTGGGACCCTGCCTGATCAGCCAGAGTAAGAAGTAGTTAATATCCTTTGGGTCAATCCTCGACCAAGGCTGAGGGGAGCAAGTGGTTAAATACTTCCCCATTTCTTTTCCTAGGAGCAAGACACTGAGCTGCATGTCATAAAGTTCAGACTGTCCATGGGGACGGAGCATCCTGGAGCAGTAAGTCAATTTGATAACACATCCTTGTTTTGACTCTCCTTCTTTCCCTGTTTCATTTCCTTATCCTTCCCTCGCTCCTATCCCAATCCCAGGTCTACACTCCCAGATGAACAATCATACATGAGCCTTGGTCTCAGGCTCTGCTTTTTTTTTCCCAATTGGCTTTTGATTTCATTTTCAGTTTAAAAATCTTAGTTTTTACATAGCATATTTGATTCATTTATGTTTAGTATAATTATTAATACATTTGAGTTTACATCAACTTTATATGCACCTATTTGTTCTTTTTTTAAAGATTTTTTATATTTTTTAGAGAAGTTTTAGGTTTGCGGTAAAATTGAGAGGAAGGCACAGAGATTCCCTGTATAATCCTACCCCCATACATGCTTAGCATCCCTCTATTATTAGCATCACTCACTATAGTGTACATTCATTACAAGTGATGACCCTACATTGACACATTGTGATCACCTAAAGCCCATTGTTCACCTTGGGGTTCACTCTTGGTGTTGTACATTCTATGGGTTTGGACAAATATATATAATAACGTGACCCCATCATTATAACATCATACAGAGGATTTTCACTACCTTGAAAATCTTCTGTGCTCCATCTATTCTTCCCTCCCTCATCTCCCCTCCCCCGCTTCTGACAACTTACCTTTTTACTGTCTCCATAGTTTTGCCTTCTCTAGAATTTCGTATAGTTGGAATCATGTAGTATGTAGCCTCTTCCAGTTGGTTTCTTTCATTTAGTAATATGCATTTAAGTTTTCTCTATGTCTTTTCATGGCTTGATAGCTCATTATTTTTTAGCACTGAATATTCCATTGTCTGTTTGTTCATTTACCTACTGAAGGGCTTCTTGGTTGCTTCCAAGTTTTGGCAATTAGGAATAAAGCTGCTATAAACATCTGTGGGCAGGTTTTTGTGTGGATGTAGGTTTTCAACACCCCTGGGTAAATACCAAGGAGTGTGATTGCTGGATCATATGGTAAGAGTATGTTTAGTTTTATAAGACACCGCCAAACTGTCTTTCAAAATGGCTGTTCTTCTTTGCATTCTCACCAGCAATATATGAGAGTTCTTGTTGCTCCACATCATTGTCAGCATTTGGGGTTGTCCATGTTCCAGATTTTGGTCATTCTAAGATGTATACTAGTATCTCATTGTTGTTTTAATTTGCATTTCCCTGATGACACAGGATGTGGGGCATCTTGTCATATGCTTATCTGCCATCAGTATATCTTCTTTGAGGTGTCTGTTAAGGTCTTTGTCCCATTTTTTACAATTGGGTTGTTTGTTTTCTTATGGTTAAGTATTAAGAGTTCTTTGTATATTTTGGATAACATTCCCTTATCAGATGTATCTTTTGCAAATACTTTCTCCAAGTCTGTGGTTTATCTTCTCATTCTCTTGACATTGTCTTTAGCAGCACAGAAGTTTTTAATTTTAATAAAATCCTGCTTATCAACTGTTTATTTCAGGGACCAGGCCTTTGGTGTTGTATCCAGAAGGTCCTCACCATACCCAAGGTTAACCAGGTTTTCTTCCATCATCTTCTAAGAGTTTTATAGTTTTGCATTTTATGTTTAGGCCTATGATCCATTTTGAGTTAATTTTTGTGACAGGTATAAGGTCTGTGTCTAGGGTTTTTTGTTGTTGTTGTTGTTGTTTTGCATATAGATGTTCAGTTGTTCCAGCACCATTTGTTGAAGACACTATCTTTGCTCCATTGTATTGCTTTTTCTTTTTTGTTAAAGATCAGTCGACTATATTTATGGGGATCTATTTCTGGGCTCTTTATTCTATTCTACTTATCTATTTGCCTTTTCTTTTGCCAATACCACACTGTCTTGTTTGCTGTAGCTGAATGTCGGATAGTGTCAGTCCTCCAACTTTGTTCTTCTTCATTATTGTATTGGCTATTCTGGGTCTTTTGCCTCTCCATAAAAACTTTAGAATCAGTTTTTCAATATCCACAAAATAACTTGCTGGAATTTTGATTGGAATTGCCTTGAATCTTTAGATGAATTTTGGAAGAACTAACCTCTTAACAATATTGAATCTTCATATCTATAAATGTGGAATATCTCTTCATTTATCTAGTTATTCTTTGATTTCATTCATCAGAGTTTTGTAGTTTTCCTCATATAGATCATGTATGTATTTTGTTAGATTTATACCAAACTATTTAATGGGGGGGGGGTGCCAGTGTAAATGGCATTGTGTTTTAAATTTCAAATTCCACATATTCATTGCTAATATCTAGGAAAGTAATTGACTTTTTTATTATATTATTTTTGTGTTACATATACTTGTATCCTGCAACCTTGCTATAATCACTTAGTTCCAGGAGGGGTTTTTTGTCAATTCTTTTTGGATTTTCTACATACAGAATCATGTCATCTGTGGACAAAGATAATTTTACTTCTTTCTTCCTAATATGTATACCTTTTATCTTATTTTGCCTGTTGCATTAGCAAGGACTTCAAGATGATGTTGAAAAGGAGAAGTAAGAGGGGACATCCTTGTTCTTGTATCCAATCTTCATAGGAAAGCTTTGAGTTTCTCACCATTAAGTATGACACTAGCTGTAGGGATTTTGTAGACATTTTTTATCAAGTTGAAACATTTCCCTCTAGTCCTAGTTTACTAGGAGTTTTTATCATGAATGCATGTCAGATCTTGTCAAATGCTTTTTCTACATCTATTGATATGACCATGTAATTTTTCTCTTTTAGTATTTTGATGTGATGGATTACATTAATTGATTTTTGGATATTGAACCATCCTTGCATATTGCATACCTGGAATAAATCCTACTTGGTCATGGTATAGAGTTCTTCTGTGTATGGTTAAACTCAAATTTTGTTAAATTTTGTTGAAGATTTTTGCATCTATGTCCATGAGAGAGATTGCTCTGTAGTTTTCTTGTAATGTCTTTTTCTGGTTTTAGTATTAAGATAATACTGACCATGGGTGCCTGGGTGGCTCAGTTGATTAAGCATCTGACTCTTGATTTCAGCTCAGGTCATGATCTTAGGGTTGTGAGATCAAGCCCCGCATAAGATTCTCTATCTCCCTCTCCCACTGCCCCTCCCCCATCTAAAAAATATAATACTGGCCTTATAGAATGAGCTAGGAAGAATTCCCTCTGTTTCTATCCTCTGAAAGAGATTGTGAAGAATTAGTATAATCTCTTCCTTAAATATTTGGTGGAATTCACCAGTGGACCCATTTGGGCTTCATGCTTTCTGTTTTGGGAGGTCAGTAATTATTGACTCAATTTCTTTATTAGATATAGGCCTATTCAGATTGTCAGTTTCCTATTGTGTGAGTTCAGCAGATTGTATCTTTCAAGAAATTGGTCCGTTTCATCTAGGTTATGAAATTTGTGAGCATAGAATTGTTTATAGTATTCCTTTATTGTCTTCTTAAATTAATGGGATCTGTAGTGATGTCCCCTCTTTCATTTCTGATATTAGTAATTTGTGTCCTGTCAAATTATTTTTCTTAGTTAGCCTGGCTAGGGGCTTATTGTTTTTATTTTTTATTTATTTATTTTTATTTATTTATTTATTTATTATTTATTTATTTATTTATTTTTATTTATTTATTATTTATCTTTTCAAAGAACCAGCTTTGGGTTTTGTTGATTTTCTTTATTATTTCCTGTTTTCAATTCCATTGACTTCTCTAATTCTTATTTCTTTTCTTTTGCTTACTCTGGGTTCAATTTGCTCTTCTTTTTCTAGTTTCCTTAGGTGGAAACTTAGATTATTGATTTTAAATCTTTCTTCTTTTCTAATATATGCTTTCAATTATATAAATGTCCTTTTAAGCACTTCTGCTGTATCCTACAAATTTTCACATGCTGTGTTTTCATTTTCATTTAATTCAAAATAATTTTCAAATTTCTCTTGAGATTTCTTCCTTGACCCATGTGTTATTTAGAAGTGTGTTGTTTACTCTTCACATATGTTAGGATTTTCTAGTTATCTTTCTGTTGCTGATTTCTAGTTTAATCCCATTTAGTCTGAGAGCAGACATTGTATAATTTTTATTCTTTTAGATTCATTAAGGTATGCTTTAGGGCCCATAATGTGGTCTATCTTGGTAAATGTTCCATATGAGCTTGACAAGAATGTGTATTCTGCTGTTGTTGGATGAAATCATCTATAGATGTCAATTACATCCAGTTGATTGGTGGTGGTGGTGAATTCAGCTATGTTTTTACTGATTTTCTGCTTTCTGGGTCTGTTTCTAACAGAGGGGTGTTAAAGTCTCCAATTATGATAGTGGATTCATCTATTTTTCCTTGCAATTCCAGGCTCTGCTTTTAGGGGAACCCAAACAAAGACAGTTGGCACCAGGAGTGGTCCTAGAAAGTGGACCCTCAGGATGGGACTTTATAGATGAGTCATTCACTTAATGGTCATCTGGCCATCAAGTCCCCATAGCTTGTGGTTAAGTGGATGGTCATAACTCCTAACACATATTGGCTTCAAAATTACTAAGTCTCTCACCTGCACCAAACTGTCTACAAACTCACCTATGGTTGACTGGGATAAGTTACAGATTAAAAGTGAAGTATTGGGTTTGGAGGTGCTTGAATTATTGGAGGCAATTGCAATTATAAGGATTTTGAAGTTGTTTAGTTTTTGTTAATTTCATTGAAAGTCTTGAAAAAAGAAAATAAATGGAATCAGACAGCCAATTCTCAGCACACAAAGCATGCTGTGTAAGCCAGATTGCTTCTATAGAAGTCTTTAGTGAGACACCACCCCCTCACCCACCCCCCACCGCCCCCCAACTCACTTCCAGCAGCTCTAGGACACACCATGTCAAAAATCTGGCCCAGGATCTAATTGTAAAGCTATCAGAATAGAAAAGGAAACAATATGTATCCATAATAGGTATCACATGTTAGAGTCAGGGCCCTGATATAAAGAAGAATGAATTTGTGAGACATGGGACAAGGACATTTAGATGTATGACTCTAATGATTTTAAACCCCTAAATTCCCCTGAATTGTCTGCACCAGGATAATGGCTGCTTCCTCCTTATCAAGAAGAGTAATCTCCTCTTGCCTGGGGACTCTGCAAAGACTTCAGCTGAGGTAGGTACCTTGCAATGTCGACCCTCATCACTCCTAATTATCCACAGGCTGACAACCATGACCATGTCTCAGACCAGCTTGAGGTTATAAATACGGTACTTGCCCTGGGAGGAATTGTAGGACCTAACTCATAGGTATTGGCAGGAACCAGGGAGCACATCTGGGGTGGACTTTGAGGATATGAGATGTGGGGATGCAAAAATATAAGGCTGGATAGGGAGAATACATTAAGGAGGGACACTCACCAGTGACTTGGGATGTAATATTCTGAAAGGACAGATTCAAACAATTTGGTAGAGAGTTATGTCAAGCCTTTAAGAAAAAAATAATGAAAGAAAAAGTTTTTTTTTTTAATTGCTCCAGAGAGGGACACCTGGGTGGCTCAATCGGTTAAGCATCTGCCTTGATTCAGGGATTGAGTCCCATGTAGCACTCCCTGTTCAGCAGGGAGTCTGCTTCTCCCTCTCCCTCTGGCCCTCTTGCCCCACTCATTCTCTCTCTCTCTCAAATCAATAAATAAAATCTTAAAAAATAAAGCAATTTTTAATTGCCCCAGAGAATACAAAACTATAAAGGCTTTCTGATTTATAAAATAAACTCAACTTATAAAATAAAGCTAACATAGCCTTGAAGGCAAAAATGACAATAAAAATTACAGATCAATTTCTATTATCAGTACAAGGGGGGAAATTCCTAAATAAAATATTAGCAAATCTTTTTGAACAGTATATTTTTGAAAATATACCACACAGCATCCAGATAAGTGTTTATTCCAGACTCCAGTGGGACAATCAGAAAGAGAATACGTTCAGAGGGAACATGTGTTCTTACGTGATGGTACTGTACCAAACTCTGTCTGCAGGACTCATCTGTCATCTTTTGGAATAAATTATTGTTCTGCTTTCTATGAAAGAATATTTGAACTAATAGGAGAGTGCTTAGTTATGTTCTAAAACATATATTAAAAAGTCAAAGGTTTTACTATATATCAGTAATAACTAGCTCAAAATATCCATTGGAAAGAAAGGTTCCCAATGACCACAGTTACAGAAACTGTAAAATACCTAAAAATATACTTCATATGAAATAAGCAGCAATTTGCCCACTTAGACAATACAATATACAACTAAACAATATATTACAATAAATAAAATTAGTTGAGATAGTCTTGGAGCAACAAAAGCTTGATGGAAAAAAAAGACTGAGGGAAAACATTAGAAAGTCCAGAAACAGATCAAAATATATATAACACTCTAGTGCATGATAAAGGTGATCCTTCAAACCAATTAAATAAAGGATAAAATTTTCAATAATTGGTAAAATGGCTCACCATTTATAAAAATATGAAGTTCCTACCTCACACAATAAATCAGCATCACAACCAGTAGATTAAAGATGTAAATGTAAAAAGTGACATTATAAAAACACTTAAGGAAAATAAAGAAATAGTTATATATATTTTGGGAGTGAGGAAGTATTTTCTGACAGAAATTGTAAAAGAACTAGATCACTAAATTTTGACAACATAAAAAATATATCAAAAAAATTCTTAAGATTAACAGGGAAATAACAATTTTGGGGGAAAATATTTGCAATCTGTAAAGGAAGCAAAGATTCAATATCCATAATATATGTAATGCTCTTATAAATTAATAGGAAAAAGATGAATGGTGGGAGAGAAAAATGAACAAAAAACATGAGTATGAAATTCACAAAAGAGGACAAACAAATGATACATGAAAAAAAATGGTCAAGGTCAATAATGACCAGGAAGTGTGGGGCGCCTGGGTGGCTCAGTTGGTTAAGCAGCTGACTCTTGATTTTAGCTCAGGTCATGATCTCGGGGTCGTGAGATCGAGTCCCACAGTAGGCTCTGCACTCAGCGTGCAGTCTGCTTGAGATTCTCTCCTTCTCCTGCCCCTCCCCCTGCTTGTGTGCACGTGTACACGCTCTCTCTCTCTCTCTCTCTCACATAAATAAATCTTTTTTTAATAATTTTTTATTATGTTATGTTAGTCACCATACAGTACATCATTAGTTTTTGATGTAGTGTTCCAATGATTCATTGTTTGCGTATAACACCCTGTGCTCCATGCAGTACGTGCCCTCCTTAATACCCATCACTGGGCTCGCCCATCTCCCGCCCCCCTCCCCTCTAACACTCTCAGTTTGATTCCCAGAGTCAGTAGTCTCTTATGGTTCATCTCCCTCTCTGATTCCCCCCCTTCATTTTCCCTTTCCTTCTCCTAATGTCCTCCATGCTATTCCTTATGTTCCACAAATAAGTGAAACCATATGATAATTAATTTTCTCTGCTTGACTTATTTCACTTAGCATAATCTCCTCTAGTCCCATCCGTGTTGATGCAAAAGTTAGGTATTCATCCTTTCTGGCGGCTAAGTAATATTCCATTGTATATATGGACCATATCTTCTTTATCCATTCATCTGTTGAAGGGCATCTTGGCTCTTTCCACAGTTTGGCTATTGTGGACATTGCTGCTATGAACATTGGGGTGCATATGGCCCTTCTTTTCACTACATCTGTGTCTTCGGGGTAAATACCCAGTAGTGTAATTCCTGGGTCATAGGGTAGCTCTATTTTTAACTTTTTGAGGAATCTCCACACTGTTTTCCAAAGTGGCTGTACCAACTTGCATTCCCACCAACAGTGTAAGAGGGTTCCCCTTTCTCCACAACCTCTCCAACATTTGTTGTTTCTTGCCTTGTCAATTTGCCATTCTAACTGGTGTAAGGTGGTATCTCAATGTGGTTTTGATTTGAATTTCCCTGATGGCTAATGATGATGAACATTTTTTCATGTGTCTGTTAGCCATTTGTATGTCTTCTTTTGAAAAGTGTCTGTTCATTTCTTCTGCCCATTTTTTGACTTGATTATTTGTTTTTTGGGTGTTGAGTTTGAGAAGTTCCTTATAGATCTTGGATACCAACCCTTTATCTGTAGTGTCATTTGCAAATATCTATCTTTTAAAAAATGGCCAGGAAGTACAAATTTTAAAAAATGAGATACCATTGTATACCTACCAATTTGATAAATATTTTATAATGAAAATAATAGCTAGAATTACAGAAGACATAGGAAATGAGTCTCCTGCTAGTTTGAGTATAATATGGAACAAACACTTTGAAGAGTTTGAAGAACCTGAATAATGTTTATATATTTTTGAACCAGAAATTCAACATCTGGTGTCCATTCCAGGGCATTTATATTAAAAATATGCACTTCAAGGGCGCCTGGGTGGCTCAGTTGGTTAAGCGACTGCCTTCGGCTCAGGTCATGATCCTGGAGTCCCTGGATCGAGTCCCGCCTCGGGCTCCCTGCTCGGCAGGGAGTCTGCTTCTCCCTCTGACCCTCCCCCCTCTCATGTGCTCTCTCTCTCTCAAATAAATAAATAAATAAATCTTAAAAAAAAAATGCACTTTGACTTAAAAAAAATCTTTGACCTCAAAAATCTCATTGCCAATAGCAAAAGCAATAGAAGCAATCTAAATCTACAACAATAGGGAATAGATTAAATATATTAGTATTTATTGTTGTTTACAATTTTATGCAAGCATTAAAAATAATGTTTTACAGGTATCCTTGGTGACTTTGAAAGACTATAATACATTGTTAAATCAGAAGTCAGTTTACTAAGCATGTGTACCACATTTATATTTTTATAAAATAAAATATAACAAGATATAGGTCAGTAGTGGTTAACACTGGCTTGTGGGATTCCCATTTATATCATCTTTCATGACTTTCTGCCTTTTCTAATAGGCAACATAGCACTTTTATAATTTTTTAGAAAACCATAAATGCTGTAACAAACAAACATAAGAACGACTATAAGGTCATACCCCAGAAATGGCTTGTTAGCTGCCCAGGACAAAAGTGGCAATAGGAAATCGAAAATGGAGTTATTATTCTTGCATTAATTACTATTATTATGGAGGCACAATTGCAGTCTGTCAGTTGCCGAGTTCCTGTTATTACCTGAGTCTAAGTCTTCAGGGAGTCTCTTTGCCCCTCTGGTCTCTTTCATCAGCAAATCTCAGAGCGGTACACAAACATCCCCTTCCGGTTGAATTAGAAATGTGGCAAAGACCATCCTGGCTTCTGGATGGACAAACGGAGCCCTGGAGGGGACAGGGGGTTTTCCTATTGCAACAGTGGAATCCCTGAGCCTCAGAGCTAGAAATCCCCCTAGGAGGCCTCTGTCACCCCAATGCACTGCAGAGTCCCTGGTCCCCTTCCTCGGTAGAGCACTGTGCTTGAACCCAGGGTCCGGGAGCGCACCACCTCACAAAAAACATTCTTTCTCTTACTGAGCCTTGCTAACAGTCAGAAGGCCTTTCCTGATATCAAGACAAAATCTGCATCCCTGGAATTTTCTTTTTTTCTTTTTTTGCATCCCTGGAATTTTCACCCACTGGTCTTGGTCAGAGAAAACAGGATTTCTCAAGTTGTTCCATGAGGCTCTGGGTTTTGCCGGGCTTCCCAGCGGAGTTGTCCATCCTGCAGGAGAAATAACTCTTTGCATCTATAATGGCTCTCCATGCTCTGCCTTTTTTTTTTTTTAATTTAACAGCTTTTTTGGTAAAAATTCACATGCCGTAAGTGTGCAATTCAGTGATTTTTGGTAAATTTACAAAGTTTTACAACTATTACCATACTCTAATTTTAGAACATTCCCATCACCCCAAAAAGAAATCCTATACCCCTTGGCAGTCACTGTCCTGCACTCTCCCCTACCTACCTGTCCCCTAGGTTTCTATTTTATACAGGGGCCTACAGCTAGGGCATCTCTTGATTATATTTGAGACTAGCATTTGCCTCCATACTCTTTTTTTTTTAACTATTTACCACAGTGTTCCCTGTTTTTTTCAGGCCCCATTCTAAGGAATCCTGGCTAACCCAGGTTTAGAAAATGCAGAGGGCTAAAGGTAAAAAAAATAACATGCCCTCACTATGCCTAGATGCTACTGTGCTAGGCC